CACACTGCAAAATCTTTTCTTGATTTTGAATTCAGGTAGCATCAAACACGAGGAGAATCCTAAAAGATATTCTTCTCCATAATCTCAAACATGCTCACACTACAAGATGTGAAAATCTTGGCACATCACACACACTACAGGATTTCATTTAGACTATCGTGCCCGACAGAGGTACGCAACACTACTTGTGACCTCACGTACACAACGGAGCCAGCGGGTAAATTGTAATGCTTTGTACACAAGTTTTGGGTGAAGAAATTTCTGGGGAGACGCAGAAATCACGGGTTGTATATTCTTCAGTCAGATTGTAACTGCCACCGGTCGCCACTACTGTACTATTAAAGTTTTTATATCAAGTCTATGTGTTAAGGCCAAAGCACAGCACACACAACTCAAGCAGAAGTGAATTGAATATTGACAATTTAACAAACAGACAAATCTTAATCAAATAAATTCATAAATTGAAAGAAAAAATATGTATGAAGTTTACAGAAAGAAAATAATGAAATGTACAAAGCTGTGCTGTTGTGTTTGGTCATTAGGTGGCACTGTGGAGTTTCTCATTGCTCTGCTCATCATGCACTAATGACCAGCGGCATCATCCATTGTTTTCCCCTCTTAAGTGTAACTCTTGTCCATTTTACCATCCTTCCGTGCAGGTGGGAGACGTTCACTGTATCGACGCGAGACTCTTTGGCAACATCGGCCGCTTCATCAACCACCTGTGTGAGCCCAACGTGCTGGCTGTGAGGGTGTTCACCATGCACCAGGATCTACGCTTTCCCAGGATAGCTTTCTTCTCCAGCAGGCCCGTCAAAGCTGGAGAGCAGATCGGGTGAGTGGTGGAGACATCTCCTGAGAGCTGTCTCTGCAGCGTGCTGGACCTTTACACCTACCTCGCTGCAGCAATTTCAGGCATTAAGAATAACAAAATGAAAATGGACAATCTTCTTGCTGATGGTTTAGTTTTCTTTTGTAGCTCAAAAAGCATCATCTTTATTAATTCTAGCCTGTTTCATAACCTGCTAAAAACTCCAAACATGACCTTTAATCATCCAAAGGCTCATGTGTCTTTCATATGTTACTGTTTTAAATAGAAAGTTTTCATTAGAAAATCCATTTTAATGGACAAATGTGTCTTCTTCACCAGGTTCGACTATGGCGATCACTACTGGAGGGTGAAGAGCAAGTTTTTCAGCTGTCATTGTGGCTCTGTCAAGTGTCGCCACTCAGCTGCCAGCACATAGAAACCACCAGAATCTCACGGTCCTCTCACCTTTCTGTCAGGACTCATTTTTACTGCTGAGGTTTCTTTAATGTCAGAATCACTGCCTGTGACGAGGTCCACACCGATGAGATTCCTATTTATGCACACAACACAGTGACTGTCCCACACGGAGACACATCGTTTACCACTAGAGAGGAAATCCTCTACAGGAGAATGAGATGAACTATTTTTTTTAAGGTTAAAAAAAATCTTAACAGATGATTTAAACAATCATGGACTGAACTTTTAGTAGCACAGATGTTACATTTGTAGATTAATGAAGTTAAATAATCTTTTTTGGTAGCCTGATTTCATGTATGAGTGTGCTTTTTTTTACTACCTCTAATTAGTAATAAAACACATTTTCAAAGCATCTTTTAGTCTGTTTTCTTTTTTATGTCTCTCACAATTGGTGATCCAGTTCATCATTAAGGTCTTAACTGGGGTTAATATCAACGGTTGTTTAAGTTCTTCCAAATGTTTTCTCCAGCATGAATTAAAAAATGGTGGTAATTAGGGTCAGGAATCTTTGGGTGTCTCACGATTCAATTTCAATTCTTGGGGTCACGATTTGATTAAGAATCTATTTTATATTCAAAACGATTCTGGATCCATGGATTCAAGCTTGTTTTTGATTTAGTACATCCTTCAGGATCTACTCCAGTCGTCTGTGAGACTGGATGAATTTCTTGCTGCTCCATTTGACATTCTACTAAGTTAAAGAGCTAGCATTAGCACTTAGCATGGAGTAGCGGTCGCTTTTTGGAAGTTATGAATCTATTTAAAATCTTAAAAGATAAGAATCTCGATTTTTACATAAATAGATATTTTTTTCCTCCTAGTGGTAATATTAGGTATCTATCCACCAATACATTTTCAGAAGCCAGCCATAATTAGAAGTGGTTCAGGTGAGTATATATTCAAAACTCAGCCAAACATTCTTCTTAGTAGTATTTTTGTACACAAAAAAAGGTTTTCATATTGGTTTATATCAGGAAACACTCTGATCCACGCTGACTTGGATGTATCTGTGATCAGTCTATATGAAGTCCATATTTTGGTTTGATTCAGATTCAGATTCAGACAACGTTATTCATCCCAGAAGGATAATTCAGTTTCACAGCCTACCGAGCCATTGAAAAACACAGAGACAACATAAAGGAAACAAACACATCCAAGTATTGATATTTTTATAATATAAATAGCAAATATGCTTTTTTGAGTTTTTATTAAAAATTACTGCTATTGTTCCGTCGTCCTTACATGTTTTTATTTAGTTAAATTGGATTAGACTGTAATACCATAATAACCCTAACCTAGAACTAACAGAAAACTCAATGGTACTCTTTTATTTGGGTGATAAGTGTCTCATTCCCCCAAAATCATGCTATGAGACAATATAAAATCCTCATTCCATAAATAGTAAAATGACATAAACAACACTTACATGACTTTGTTCAGTGGTGCACTTTACTCGTCTTTCAATCAAACATTTTAGCAAATTAGCAAAAACAATGTCATAACCGTGTATGACAATAAGCTTAAGCTTGTCATTACCTCGCCTTGCATGTCTGCATGTTTTATCAATCAATATTTATCAATGATTTGCTAAATTACAAGACAAGTTGGAGTAGCTTCAAAGAATTTTCATTTTGATTTCACTCGGCAGCTGAAAAGAGTAAACGCTTTGTATGATGTATTTTTGCAAGATGTAGCCTATTAATTAAGATTTGGGTTCAAACAGTCTGACCTGGAGAAGATCCAAGGATGGAGAAAGATAAAAGATAAAAAAAATAAAGTTTTTGTAACACAGAACACCATTTCCACAGATGCTTTCTTATTCTCTGCAATATATATTTTGTAATAGTGTTAATAGTTGTATTAAATTAGGTAAAGTAATCGACAGTTTTAATGTCTTAAAAAGAAAACATTTCGACACTCCCCTAAAAATCATTTTTTGCAACTGTATCACAACTTTAATTATTAACTCTGTTAAAATAATTACTTGACGTATGGGTCTTTGAACCTAAAACCTATATTCTAACAAACAATTGTTGCAGCTTCTTTTACTTTGGAAATTTGGAGCATTTTTTGTGGTTTTTGTTTTTGTTTTAGTGCCCGACGTAAAATATTTGTTTGGTGGGTTTTATTCGGTTATTTTGCTCCCTTTCATGATTAATACATTTCAGTACATTCAGACTTTAATAATAAAGCAGGCCTATTGACTTCCATCATGTACATACACTTTTTGGTGACTCAAAAGTCTCTACAGTATGGCTACCCCGTTTGTCTCGACGCTGGTGTTATGAGGAGAAATGCATCCCTTCCAAGAATTGCATGGACTTCGTGGAAGTGTTAGAAAACAAATCTTATTTGTGGGGGCAGCGGAGTTGCTGTCTGTCAAAAGGCAAGGTGGGTGACTGCTTGGGTCCTAAGGCCACTAGGGGGCCCCCAAGGGCTGACACATTTTAAACCACAGCAGCTACTCAAAATGTGCAAACTTTGCAATGACAGTAGGATATCTCCCTGAGGGGGCCCCATCTGACCGCCCTCCCTCTTGTTGCCCTGCTAAGCGTGGCATGCAAACCAACATTTGTCAATGAAAGTCACTGAAGGAAATTAAAAGTAATGATCTATCTGGGGGGGAAAAGAGAGAAAGAGGAAGACATAGTGGTGATAACTGCTGGTTGCAGGGGCCCCCAATGACATTTTTGCCTAGGGCCCCAACAGACTCTAGAATCTGTGATGACAAAGTATGTGAAGTTTATACTTAATAAAGTTAAGTGTCCTATTCTGTAGACTCCGTAGAAGACACATTTTCATTAGCCTGCGTAAGTGCAGTGAAGAAATTGCATTTCCAAAATTTTCATTGTCATCCAAGTTGCATGCAATTCTCGGCCTAACACCGGTGTGGCGGGCTCCCTCTCTCTCTCTGTCTCTGTCTCTCTCTCGCTCTCTCCTCCCTGTTGCTATGGAAACAGGGCCGGTCCAGGTGGAGCCACTGGCGGGCGTCTTCTCGATCACGTGGGGGGGAGGGGGGGGGGTTCTGGATAAGGAGCGGTTGAAAAAGTAGTCTCCACATTCACATCAGCGGCTCGTTTACGGTAAAGGACCCGTACACCTGTGCCGGGATTCTGTCTTCGTTTAACGACAAAAAAGAAACTGCGTGTTCTTTTTTTTTTTTTTTTAACTTGACCGGGAATCAGTCACTGGCAACCCAGAGTTGAAACGAGTCTTGATGGGCAACAGAAGTAAAAATCTTTGGACGCTTTCTGGAGGAAAAATATTTCTTGACACCCAACGCTGACGCCTCGCTATTTCTCCTCTTGGCTTTGGTGTTAAATTGATCATTTTGTACCCGGGGTTTGGTGCCCGTAGCACGGACTTTACGCACTGACGGCTGAATCGTCCAGCTCCTTCGGGGCAGTGAACCGAAAGAGGAACACCCATGAAAAAATGATGCATCATGGAGTCTGGTCATCTAAACTTTGAGCAACAATTTCACTTGTGACAGCATGGGAAGCAGCAGAGACGAGGAGCTGACAGACAAATGAAAACGAGCCTCCCTGTTCGTGTTTTGTTTGTGAATGTTTGACTCTCCTGTTAGCGGACGACACACGCACCCAAAGGACTCGGGGGACGGGACGACAGTGTGTGTTGTGATGCTTCTTCTCCATTTCTTTTCTGGTGTCAGTTTTGGTTTCTCCAGAAAGATCTGTAGTAGTCTCCCGGAATGGCTCGCTTTGAAGACGAAGTGCCCAGCCGCTATGGAGGCGGCTGTCCCGCGGGTCCGGCCAGAGGGGCCAGCCGGCAGCCGGGGCCTCCGGGGGTCCAGAGGATGTACAAGCAGACGATGGCCCAGAGAGCCCGGACCATGGCTATTTACAACCCCATTCCTGTCAGACAGAGCTGCCTCACCGTTAACCGCTCCATGTTCATCTTCAGTGAGGATAACATCATACGGAAATATGCCAAAAAGATCACCGAATGGCCATATCCTGTGACAGTGTAGCCCTCATGCATGCCTCTTTATCCCGCACATCTCCACGCCGACCTCCGCTGAAAAATAGGTCAATTTAACTAACTTAGCCTACCGGCGGTAACTCGTGAATCAATTATATGTTTTGCTATCTTGAGGGGAACTAAGTGGTAGAATAAATATTTCGGCTTGCATGTGATGTGCAAATTAGCGTTTATATCAATTAATTAAAAAAGTTCCACAGTTGGTTCTCCTGTTGTTTTCACATCCTGTAATAGCACACAGAGAGAGGGAGTGAAATGACAAGTGAAATGAGTAGCTATATTCTGCCAGGTCATATTTCAGCAAAGTAACAAAATATATAAATGTGTTTTTTTTACTGTTGACCAGAAAGTTATCCTTAAAATGCCAGTTTTGCAAATGAAGTTCTGCGCCATTCTTTATTTCTTCCGGCGTGGAGAACATGCCATTTTAATCGATTAGCAATTATCAAAGGATAGACTCAGTGCAGAACAAGCATGGTGTTTCAGGAAAGTTAATATGTATACATATAGGTTTTGCTAAGACTTCTATCATAGGGTTTTTTTTTTTGTCAAAGTAATCTTTTCCGTCTTATTTTATGTAATTCTTTTTTGAGCTTTTAAGAAAGGGTTCTGTTGTTTTAATGTATTGTGGTTAGATGGAGGTTATATTCTGGTCAGAAGAAGCATTATATGTGCAAATGGTGATTTTATGAATATGGGTGAATACGGAGTTGATTTGTGGACTCTGATTGTGCAGGTTTTTTACCTGTCGGGCTGATTTTCTTCATTGCAGAAGCCTTAAGTCTGCAGAGGGTGCTGTCCAGGGTGCTGAACGCCCCATCAACAGCAGGCTGTCTTCAGCATTAGGGCACTGGCAAACTGCATGGGTGTGACAGCAAACAAACAAGCCATAGCATTGAAACGCAGCAGGATGCACGCTTGAAATGAACTGCCTGTGCATTTTTAATGGATATGCTGTGAATGAGCATATGACTGTTGAGGCCACCTGTTGAGTTTTGCTTCACCCAAACAAAAAAAATCCCCACTGCTGCAATTTTGGATATGTTGTAAGGTAAAGCAAATACTAAAACACCTTGTATGTTAATGAGAATTGTAGGTGTTGCAATTAATTCATATTATGTTGTGTAATTGCCTCCATTACTTCAGTCACTGGTTGGTTACCCCTGGTGCTGAGTAAACATTTATCATACTGTCATGTCGCAGTGCATTACAGAGCCATGCTTTATCCTGATGCACAGCAATAATGCACTGCTGCAGGAGGATCTTCTGTGCCCTGAGCAGCTGGTGTCCAGTGGTCGGCTCCTCCTGGCAGAGCTGAAACTGTCCTGAGGGGATGATGGAGTGCTCTGAGCTAATGACACAACAGCGGTGCACTGGAAGGAGGGAAGGTATCTAATAACCTGTACAAATCTGTGCACCATTACTGGAAAAAAAACAAAAAACTCTCCTCTTTAATGCTAAAGAAATGTTGCATATCAAGAAGGTTCCCTACGGGGCTTTGACTGGCAGGATGATGACTACAAATTTTAATCTGACAGGCTCAGAGAAGTATGTGAATTTGTTTATTTCATTATTATAGAGGATTGCATGTGTGAGCCATCCAAAATCTAAAAAAAAAAAGGCCTCTGTGATGTCATCTCTGTTTTTTCAGCTTGGGCTTGTGACTTGAAATATTTAACAGGAAGTCTGCATTATAAATCAGGTCTGTGGCACTTGAAAGAAGTTAGTATTAATGAGGGGAGGGGGGGGGGGAGGAGGCCGGGGGCTGATGGGAGAGAATGTTTCAATGAAAGACGCTCAAAGACGATGTAGCATCCTGTGATTTTTAGATTTGACACATACTAGAAACTACGGCTTTATCTGACTCAGAAAGTTCTTAGTTAAGTCGAATTATGCTATTAAAAACAAAAAACAGGCCCTATTGTTTTTTAGTTTAATTCCACACCAACTTGTTTATCAGCCCCATGCTTTACCTGCAAGCTGTTGATTTATTACAGTGTTCCATAAGCACCTGCTGTCTCCCTGGCATTACAACATTACTGTTCAAGTTACTTTGTGTTTCTAGTCACCTGCAGTATGCAGTATGACACACACACACACACACACACACACACACACACACACACACACACACACACACACACACACACACACACACACAGACTATATATTTGGCCCATCCTGTGTTCTCTCTGTTGACCAGCAGAGGGCAACTCCACTCGTTGCAAGAAGAAACCTGATTGGTCTATGAGAAAATTAGCCTACTTCTAAATTGATGTATTACAGTTAACAGTCTAATCCCATTTAGAGTCATATAGATGACAAATTCTGGTATGCTTTCGGGCTTATCTACCTGCCATCAACAAGTAGCTATCGGGGTGATCTGTCAACCAACAGTATTCCACAAAATGAAGGCTGTCTCTTTGGCTACATCCACTTCTAAAACTCTGTCGTTGCTTGTATCGTTTGCTACGTTGAATCCTAGTCTGTTAAAGTCTGTCCATTCTTCAGTCCAATAGATTTCACCTGGTATGATTGAGAGTAGCTTTCTTTTTCTTTGAGTTATAAACAGGGACGGGCTGCAGGGTGGTGCAGTGGTTAGCGCTGTTGCCTCACAGCAAGGAGGTTCCTGGTTCGAATCTATGTCGGAAAGGAGCCTCTCTGTGTGGAGTTTGCATGTTTCCACAGTCCAAAGACATGCTCGTTAGATTACCTGGTGACTCTAAATTGCTCGTAGGTGTGAATGTGAGAGTGTCTGGTTTTCTGTCTCTACATGTCAGCTCTGTGATTAACTGGAGAACATGTACTGGAGAATGTACCCCACCTCTCGCCCAATGACAGACGGTATATGGGAAAAAATGGTATAGATAATGGACGGACGGATGTAAAAAAGGATGCCAAAGTGCATCTTACAGGTGTAGAAACTGTAGCTAGCCAAAGAGATTTTAATTTTGTTGATCTCTTTATTTAAATCAGTGTTTTTTAAAATGTCCACCAATCAACAATATAGGTTCAGAAAATTGTGTTCCCATTGGTTGTGTTGAAGTTTTTTTTTAACTATTTTATTTTTTTTGTCTTCAGGGCTACTTTTTTATGCTTTTATTTCTGTTTCAGGTTGTTTAATGTTTATGTGTGTCACAACCTTTCCACAAGTATTCCTTAACTCTCTCACTCCATTTGAGTACATGATCCTGGCCACCATTATTGCAAACTGCATCGTGCTGGCCTTGGAGCAACACCTACCGGCCTCAGACAAAACACCGATGTCAGAGCGTTTGGTGAGTAGCCGCATGACTGCTTTTCCATTTCTTCCTCTGAGGCTCATGCATGTTGTCCTACAGTAGGGAAAGATACGAGAGCACTGCCTCACTCTGAGGCTTTTCTTTCTTACTTTTGTTACTCATCTTGCAGAAGCATTTTGATACCTTTTTTGGAAAAATGTATCCTCTGCTTAATCTAATCCTGCCTCTTTCAGAAATTTAAAATTACTGATATTTAAAAATTAATTCCTAAGTGTCTGATAGTATCCCTCCTCCCAAGCGCTGCAGGTTACCCTGCAGAGCTGCTTTGATATCCCCTCTTGTATCATCACCCCAGGTTACCCCTGCTGCGCCCTCCCCCCCTCCACCCAGCTCTCTTGTTCAGTCTTTTTAATAAAGAAGCGAGTACTGTGAGTGTCGGCCCAATCAAAGAGCTGGAAGTGGCAGGGCTGTTTTAAGAAAGAAATGTCAACCACCCCCAGGCAAGGAGCCTCGCAGCTTTCATTGATCATCTCCCTGAGATGGGCTGAAAGTCAGACTGACTGACAGACAAACAAACCAAATGATGAAAACAAGTGATCACATGTGTCACCAGAACAACGTTGCTGCTCTATTTAGTAGAACCCTTCAGCTTCTCAGTCTTGACCCAGCTATTATCCATCTCAAAACCATTTAGGGACAAATTAGTATTTCAGGACTCCTGTCACGGAGCTGTGGCTGCAAATAACAATCATTTCATTATTGATTTACCTGTCAATGATTCTCTCTGTACGTAAATAACTGTTAAAGAGGGGAAAAAACACACAGTAATTGTTCAGAGCTCGAGGTGATTGCTCAGTGAGTATGTTATACAGAGTTATTACTTTTATTAAAACCTCTCATTTTGATTCAACAAAATAAGATATTTTGTCTTTACACAGGCTCAATGCTTAATAAATCAAATCAGGGAGGCGCTATACTTGAAAGCCAGACAGTGTTTTTAGTTTCAGTGAGTAGCTAAATGTATTGAGCTTCAACACAGAGCTCTGCTTGTGATACTTCATTAGAGTCAAACCAGTCTTATCAGTTTTTTTTTTGTTAATGCGGTTGGTGTAACATCATCAACTTGACTGGACTGCCACAGCATGAAAAGGAAGGCAGGGACCAGACATGACGAGCATTAAATAAGCTCAGGTCCATTCAGTTTAAGACTTTGAATTTGAGTGCATTTTTTATGTATTTACAAAATGCCAACTTTCTGTACAAAACAGCATTAGGATTAGGAGTACTACAATTAACTCTGAGAGGGGGATTCCAGTGTTTATTATCCATTATTTCTACATGTACATGGTTCTTAATGACTGATACAGAAAGTGTTGTTTTGCTTGAGCCAAGAGAGGCTGGAATGGTTGCAGCAGAAGCCCTCCAGGCAAAATACAGCTGGTAAAAGTTCTTGTTGTAGCCACTGACAGGTTCAGTTAAAACCAAGGCTGCTGTATTTTTTTGTTGCTTTGTGGAGAGAATTTAACGGCTGTTTCCGGTTTCAGAAAAAGCAGCGTACTCTTTACCAAAAAAGCTTTTCCTCTTTTGGTATCTTCCTGTAATGTTGTCGGACAGAAATGCATTCTCAGTCCGTCAGTGGCAGAATAAGTACTTTTAGTGGACGGACTTTGATGATGAGCATTTCTTTCCAAGGATTATGTTGCAACATTTCCACCTGTCCCTTGACTGATTACTAAATCAACTTATCAAAGCAATTTGAAAACCCAGGACACTTGGCATTTAGACCCCAAAATATGTAAAAAAAAATAGACCCCAAGTCTAAAGATACTGTAAATCACCCCTAAAGTCGTGAGTATGGGTCCCGCAATGCCCCCTCACCCTCACACAGAAAATCCTGACATGACATGATAAAGAAGGTCTCCAAATTATTATATTGTATTTATGTATTTTATATGTTGAGCTAATCCATTTTGTTTTCAGTAAATACAGTGCATCTTAGACATGGTCGTATAACTAGGGCCTGACCGATTTGGATTTTTGGGGCCGATACCGATACTGGGAGAGAAAAATATCTGATACCGATATATCGGCCGATATCATATCATAGCATAGATATAGAAATATACATATTATATTGCATTGATCACTTTAATACAGTTATCAAACACATGTGGAAAAGATTTATAATGAAGACACACGGTCAATCTACTGAAAAGTAACTGTACATGCATCACCGCTTGACACTCTGGACGGTGATAATGCTTGTTGTAACCCATGTAGCACACTCTGGGTATCATTGTATTGATTTTACTGTCTATAAAGAGTAAAAACTTAAATATACTGAAACTAAACTCACTCATTCCTCATTGTCCTCAATAGTTGTTGACTCTGATGGTTCTCCAGGGTTTTAAAGATCTTAAACAGTGTTGGGATGATCATAGGACACTGTATCTCCTGAAGCTGTTCAAATCATATGAACACTCTATTTCATCTGACACATGAACGATCAATGTCTGATTTTACTGACTTGACCTGTTAAAAGTCGGTAATCCTCATGACTTCTCTTTCTGCTTTTTCTCAACAGGATGACACAGAGCCCTACTTTATTGGAATATTTTGTTTTGAGGCTGGCATCAAGATCATCGCTCTGGGCTTTGCCTTTCACAAAGGCTCCTACCTGCGTAATGGCTGGAATGTAATGGACTTTGTGGTGGTCCTAACAGGGTGAGTAGCACTGGCCTAATGGCTTATACAGCTGCAAACTGACAGAGCTGATGGGCAGCAGCGATTAATGATGGGGAGGAGAGAGCTCTGCTGTGTGTGTGTGTGTGTGTGTGTGTGTGTGTGTGTGTGTGTGTGTGTCTAATGATCAGTACAGCCAAACCATCCCAGATGGCAGGGTGTTTTCTTCCTGTCTTGATGAAGTGGCATTGTCTAAATCAGATGTGCAGAAAATCTGTGAACATTACAGGAATTAAAGTACAGAATTGTATTAACCCTTAAAACATTTAGAAATTATCAGACAGAACACATTTTTTTGCCTTTTCAGATGTGTAGAGTTCTCAATAATGACGGTCAGAGCTTGCTTTGGCCTTAGACATTATATAAGAACTGGACATAGTTACCTTGACATCACTAATTGTTTTTTTGAACCACAGTGTTGAAGCTGCGAGTTTGGCTTTTTGGCCATTACGGTCTAGACTTTAATAAGTGTCCACAATTGAACGAAAGGGTAGAGCCGAACATGCCACGCCCTACAGCCTATCCTGCGTTATCGTCAATTTCATTCTAGACGGGACGATATCTTACAAAATGAACCATCTGGCTGTATTTGAGATGACTTGTATGTAGAGATTGATTGATTGTTTTTTTGTGATTGTTGTATTGCTGAAAGACTTTGTCAGGCTTCATCTGCTTCATCTTTCCAGCAGTAAAGTTATTTAGTCCACTCATACAACACCAGCTATTGTAGGGATGGGACTAATTGGGACAACTGATTTCACAATTGTTTTTGTAGACTAACCTATTATTAAACAGATTTTAAGTCTCCAAAAACTGTCATCTCCAAATTGTTTCTTAAGTGTGACAAGCAGTCAAACATAAACAAACACTCTAAAGGAAATAGTAAGTCTTAGTTTTTAATACTTTAAATATGTAGTGTCTTAAAAATTCACATTAAATCCACTAAAGGGGACATCAAAGTTCTTATTAATACTGTTTTGTGTAACATAACAGCATTATGTAATGACCCTAAATGGTTCATTTATGATGCGTGTGGGCTAATAGAACAAGCTTAAGGTTGACTTGATTCTGTGAGAATCCCATTGCTCTGTCATCCCGGTCAGGCTGGATACATGTGGCCAGTAGTAAGCTCTTCTGTCGTTCAATGGTCTCAGTTTGTCCAGAGTAAACAACAGAGCATCCCTTGATATTGGACGAGAAAGCGAGTGTAGGACTAAAGCTTTTGTTGTGGGGGGGATGGAGAGAGAGAGAGATAGTGGTGTGTCGGGGGGTTGATAGGGATGGGCGGGGGGTGGTGGGGTGAGTGGAGGATGCTGTTACGCTGCAGAAAGTCCCTAGACGCCTGCTGATTCCACCGGGGGCCGGCCTGGCCTCTCTTACATAATGATACATACAGAGATTTATTAGGCCCCTCTGTTGGGGCTTGTGTCAGGAACCTCACTGCAATAAACAGATCCTCCACCAATTCCCAAACCCCTCATCAACACCAACCCCCCACCCCCCCTCCCTCCCCATTGCTAATCACTGGGAGTCTCTGAGCCTTTGTTCCTGTTTAGCTGAATAGAAGGGGAAGCAGTCAGTGGAAAATGTAATAAATGCCATCCTCCAGAATGAGTCTGGTTTCACTGGAATGACACAGACATCTGTTTGTGTTTGTGTCTATGCAACCACAGGCGTGTGGGTCTATACCCGTTTTTTAACAATGTTTTATGACCTTTACTACCAACCAGTCATGTCTGTTCAAAGGAGGCTGTAGTGATTAAGATTCAATTGTGTTTGACTGTCAGGCAGCAACAGGTTTCCTCTAATGCCACCAGTAAGGAAAATAAAGCCTTGCAGATTTACTGATTTTTTTGGATTTAGACAGAGCTTATTTTTTTTTTGCTGTGATGACTTATTTGGTACCTCCTGAGACCAAAGCTTTTTGAGCAATACGAATGATTTACTATAAGGATAACAACAAACATTATCTAAAAAAGTCTCCTTATATGGAGACAATAGGATTATTTAAAAGTGCAGCACAATGCGCTACCAGTGTGCCACAGTATTAAGGGTGAAAGGTCATTTTTAAGGTATTTTTATAATCTATCGCACTCTCAAAAATTATACATTTAACTACTTTAATAACTGTAAGTGATGGATCACCCACGTTTAAGTTTGGTTCAAAGTAAAACTAAAAAGTAGGAGCTCTATTATGTGTGTGACAGTAAGAATCCAACAGGGTGTTGGTCCCAACCTGGTCAGCAGCACATGTACTCTTAAAATATGAGAATGTAGGTGACCCTGTGGAGCTCCTCCACTTCTGTACATGTGGCGCTCCCAGTCCAGTTTTACAATAAATATGCACGTTTATTTTGAACTTACAATACAATAAACCAGTAAAGTAAGCATTGATATAAATGTATCAACCAATCTACTCTCTCATTCAGTTTAGTTATGTTAATGCACTAAATACATTTTTTTTGTTCTATTTACATCCTGAGTTTACGTTACATAATGAGGTGAAAGACTACCTGGCAGCGATTGCTTGAACACACCCTCCCTGATGAAGGTGCTTTCCGGCCACATTCAAGAAGACATAACTGCACATACATGAGGTTCAAAGCATCGATTAAGCGTAATTAGAAAAGCAGTCAATATAGAAGAAAAGGCTGATTTTGGGTTTCGTATTTAATTTAAACTCTATATGATGGAAGTTGTGGGTTTGTGAGACCCGTCCATGGTGTGAGTTTTTGTGCATGTGAGCATTGTCTGAGCCTGCTGAGCGTGGAGGTGATGGTGATTGACAGGTTGTCAGGGCTTGTATGAAGCCACAGCCTCTTTCAGTGTGTGTGTGTGTGTGTGTGCGTGCGTGCGTGCGTGCATGTGTGTGTGTGTGATGTGTGTGTACAGACACAGCCTGAGCAGGTCTGATTGAATTGCAGCTGAGCAGTCTGGCATGATAACTGTAGCCTAATTGAGGGACATGGTGGCTGATGGAGGCCATTACAGCTGAGGTCTGGACATCTTATCACGCTGCACTGACGGGATGAACCATGCTGGAGATATTGGCTCGCTCATATCAAATGTATGCAACGAAACACACACACAGACACACACACACACAAACAAACACACACACGCTGAAACATGAATGAACACAAGCACACACATGCCAACAAATCCCTTCATGATGATGTCCATTTCCTGCAGGATGTGTACTCTGTAGAAACCCGCAGCAATTAAGCATCAGTAATGACTGCGATTATTTGTGCATTCAGCTCATTTAGACAGGACTCGGAAATATCAATCAGCTCAGCAACATGTTTGTTTGTCTACCAGCTACAGGGCCTTTGTCAATTGCTACTTATTTGAGCCCATTTTCAATACAAAACCAATGCAGTTCAGCATTTTTAATGTTTGTTTTTGTCATCGTGCTCACAGTGCTCTCAGTTGCAAAAATTTCAACATTTGGGAACACCATCTTGCCTGTCAATGTCACTTCTCCCTCACTGACCAATCAAAATCAAGAAGGGGTGGGACTTCTGATATCAGCATCGTCAACAACGAAAACAGAGGAGAAACTTATCTGACCCAGGTCTAGAGCGGCTGCTAATGCCAGGACAGGATATTTTATTGTTTTTCGGTGATATTTCCTTGAATAAAACTAAAATATTAAGCCCACAGAGCTACTTAAAACAGATCCAACGGACTCCTAACGGGGGGAGCAGAAGTTAACTTCCGTGACCTAGCAACAGTAAGTGCCAACGCTGAAACTAAGGTGGGTGCTGCCAGTGAAAAAAAGCCATTATAGCTGCGCCGGGAGCCCAGAGGCTGAAGTCTCCCAAGCGGACGCCCCGGGTTTGAATCCTTTCCCGCATGTCATTCCCCACTCTCTCTCTGTCTCCTCGATTACTGAGGCATAAAAATCCCCAAAATGATCATTAACACAGACTGGGGAAAAAATCAGCCACTGTAAAGCCATTATAAGTAGAGAGGTTTATTTAGGATCTGGTAAGCATAGTTAAGACTAGCAAGAGTGGATAGTAGTTAAAATGGCTCTGTCAAAAACAAGCCTCGCAACACCTCAGTTTTGATAATGTTAAAAAGTAATTTAGACCATAGACAACATAAATGTGAAAATTATAACAAGTTATGATTTAAGGGGGAGTTACATGCTTGATATATGTTTTGGGGAACAATGAGCAGCTGCAGTATCAGTGTGCTCAGCAAAGAGAGAGTATTACCTTAAACGATAGGCCTTTGATAAATCAATAGAGCTTTAAACTGACTCTGTACTGTATATGAAATCATCCACATTGTTTTAGTAGCACTCCTACCTCTGTCAGATGAGACTCTATAGCTGTCTCATCTTAAGTTAGTGTTTTTGTTTTGCCATAAATTGCCAATATTCAATGCATGGTGTATTTTTTCACTCAATAATTTTTCCGGTGTACCTCAGTATTTCAGTCAGTGTTTCCATGGGTTTCCCAGAATGCCTCTGTGTAAATCCCAAGAAAGCGAGGTGAACTCTGCTGGGGATCCATCTGTTATTTATACACAGAAGAGGAGGAGAGAGCGTTTACAGTCACGGCATAGTAACAGGAGGGGAGTGAGAGTTTCCACTGAGAAATGCTAAAAGACGTGCTCCATATTCTGTTCTTTTCTCTTCTATGACAGGTCTCTCCCTGTATTATAATACAATCATATTCACTGCAAATATTCACATGGCAACGAATGATAAACTGCTTTAGTATCAGTACCAGGATGATGTAACATGACATCTGCAACAACCAAATGTCTTTCAACAAGAGAGGGTGAAAAAATGTCCACATCAGCTATCATTTACTGCTAACACTCTGTTTTCAATTGAAGTAAGCCAGCTGAGAGAGGGACGCCCTGATTAAAGTATTAGAGCAGTTAACTAAATTAATTGAAATGGTAATGATAATGCTAAAAGACAGAAGATTGTGTCAGTGATAATGTGGCCAGCTTTTAGGTTT